TTTCTTTTCCAGTGTTAGAAAATATTTCTTTTCCAGTGTTAGAAAATATTTCTTTTCCAGTGTTAGAAAATATTTCTTTTCCAGTGTTAGAAAATCAGCACTGCTCAGTGTTAGCCATTGTTAATCTTCAAAACTGACTAGGTTACTTTTAAACATATAACACTGTCAAAAGTGTTAATTTAACACTCAACAGTGTTGTATTTAACACTCAGAGGAGTTGACCCATATAGACACTCTCCAGTGTTAATTTAACACTGGAGATTTTGCTGTGTGGGATTATGATACGAAGGGCACCTCGGTGTGAACCATATATATATATTTAATTTTGTGTAATATACTGGGATAATTATAATAAGAGCTATGTTGTTATATTTGTAACATATGGTATTATTTCATTTAGTAAGAACCGTAACAAAATAAACTATCTTGGAGCAACTGTGACCACATAATTTCCTCTGGGATTAAAGTATTCTGATTCTGGCTTTTGACCTGTGCCCTGATTACATGCCTGATGGTTTCAGACTAGAGAGAAAAGAGGCTAACGCTGTAATGATTTCCAAACATAAAGTTCTGGATCCTCACATCTGTTTTGAGTTCTGTTTTTAAAGTAACTGTTTTTGGAAACAGTTGCAAAAGGTACTGTGCTCAAGCTCCATAGAAGGCTGACTTTAAATTTATTTTATAATGTATGGAAAAATTGTCTTAGTTTTCTAATTTAAAAGAAATCATTAAATGCTGGCATCTCTTTATTTGCAGAGGTAACTGAAGAGATTTCTCGCGTTTGTATGGTGAAGATCGAACGTATGAACCCAGTATGTCCAAACCAAGCAGCTCAAGATGGCATCTCACCACCACTTCCCAGCGTTCTTGGCAAATCCACTCGAGAGCTGGTTACTCGGGTTACTGTAAAGCAGGAGAAGCCAGAAGAGGAAACGCATGGTTCCTCTTGCTGTTTGGATTCCTTTAAAGTGGAGGATTTTAGCCTGGAGAGTATATCTGGAGTCCAGTCCAAAATGTTGGAGGAGTGGAAACCAGAAGTGCAGGATATTCAGAGCCAAGATTCAAACTCTCAGCTGTCCAGCGATGGGCTCGATCAGGGTAAGAGCGAAAACTGCCACAAAGTATTCCCTCTGTTACAACAAATAAGGTTGAAATTAAGATCAGATTTGCAATATCTAACAATGACAAACTCACCTAAAGTGGAAAAGTCTTTGAAACTGCATTTACCTCGTGGGAGGGTAAAATGTTTGAGATTCAAGAGGGCTTAAAAAAACCCAGGCCTGTAAACACAGTTAACACATTGCAGAGCCTTCTCTCATGAATTGTTTAGTTTTACAAATGTACTGCACTGACATTTCCAATATTCAGATTTAGAAATGTGGAATCAACAAGAGTAAATAGACATTTTTTCCTTGTGATCAAGTTGCTGAAAGATCATCCAGGGAAAGTTTTGTCATTTTTGGAGCTGCAGGCCAGTCACATTTGCAGCTAGATTTGATCATTATGGGAAATTATTGTCTGTTTCCGTAATTACTATTAAAACTGGTAGATGGACTATATGCCAACTCACCATGTGCTATTTCACTGGGTGCAAAATGATTAGCTGTTCATTTTACTTAGCATTAACAAGCATTAAAGTTGTGCTTAAATTATATGTGTAAGTCCACTTACGATGTAATTAAAATAGTTTAATCTCAAATGAAGCAATTGTAATGCAAATTAGATGGTAAATGGTAAATGGCCTGTATTTATATAGCGCTTTACTAGTCCCTAAAGCGCTTTACATATCCAGTCATCCACCCATTCACACACAGGTGATGGCAAG